CTAATTGCGATAGCCAGATGAGTAAATACCTCACCTACAACAAGAATAATTTTAATATATATATATATATATATATATATATATCTACTTGAGAAATTATTTGTTTACATGATGTGATTCTTTGTGATTTGATTGTCGAGTATTGAGTAAAATATGTCCTATAAAGTATTTTACGCATTATACTTTGTGACATAAATATTGAGTATTATATTATATTGCCTACATAAATAAAGTATGTCCTAGAGTTCAATATTGAGTATTATATTATATTGACTGCATAAATAAACTATGTCCTAGAGTTAAATTGTATTCGTTATACTTATGCGACATGATCATAATTACATGTTCACCTTAAATTGAGACAAATGTAATGAGAACTAGAGAGGTGTTGTACCAACTCCACGATGGGGGTATTAAGAGTCCATGAGGGAAATAATAATTGATAATTAATTATGTCTTGGATGTTATCGGATTAAATGTTTAGGTAGCTCCCCCAATACCCCATTAGTCGCGCGCAAATCGGTACGAGTATAGGGCCCCAAGAATATAATATATTCCATAATTGAGCATAAAAAGTCATGCATCTATATATGTGATATTGTGTGCAAATATTTACTTGTTGAGCTTTAACTCATCCAGTTTGTTTATGCTTTAGGAAAAAGGCCTACAACCTATTGATGGACTTGGCGGTGGACTGGTAAGGCAGAGGTTTGGAGACTGGATACTACCATGCAAAATTATTCCGCAATTTATGTTTTGATTTTGAGAATTAGTCATGTTTAAATTTATAGTTTAGAAAGTCTTTACATGCAAATTTTATTTGCGATGCTTATTTATATGTGTGTTTCGAATTCTAAGTACTTAGAAACTAAAATGTGTTATTAAAATATGTTGGATTTTAACCTTAGTGCGATTACCATGTTTGAGACTAAATGTTATTTTCACTTCCTTGCTTGGCTAAATGCAAAGTAAAGAAAAGTAATTTATAAATTAGTTTAAAACATAAATGTTGACGGTGATTTCTCGTCAACAAAAATCGGCCGTGGATTACCGGCCTATGTGTTGAATGTATGTGAAAGTTTATTGTTTTTGGATATGCATAAGTAAAGAAGACAAGAAGTTTTATAGTGGTTCACTCTGTAAAATTAGAGCTACATCCACTGTGGTTGTATATTTCTTTTTGAGGGGATTACAATTTAAATTAATTGTTATCTCTCACTCTCTTCTTTCTCTCATTGGATCTCCAACCCCCTCCTCGTAGGGGGTCTCCCTTCTTTTATACTGGGCTTTCTTCGTTGGGTGGGTTTCCCTCCTAGGCAGAAGTACTCGAGTGCTCTCCTTTTTTAGGCCCAGACGTAGTTCACTAATCAGCACTGTTCACTCAGCCAATTAGTCTTCTATTACGGCTCTGTGCGCCTCTGTAATATTATCCTGTCCCCTGTGGGACGGTTTAAGAGCTTGCAATTAATGCCTGCTGACGTCCTTTACCTTTGTACGCAACTTGCCACGTCCTCCAGAGAACGTTTTCCTCGTCGCCAGCGACGCCGCTTAGTCCAATCGTCCTTTTTGGTGGTTGATTATGCGGTCGGGGGATCTTTGTGCCTTAAGTTCGATGGCACGATCTGTCAACGTCAGAAGGAATCGTCGCCCTGAGTTGGACTTCGTGCTTGGGCTCTTTAGGGCTGTAGACGTCGAGGGTTGTCGCTTGGCGGAGAGTAGTTAAGGCCACGTGCCGCACTATCGCTCGTCCAAGTGTCCGTCACATTTTCCCACACAACAATAAATATCCCTAAATTTTGAGTATCTCGGTTTGCCTTCAAAGAGTTAAAAAGAGATTTAAAGTTTAAGTTTATTGTTAAATAACAGCTCGGTAGAATTAGGTCGTTACAAGAATACCTTCGGTGGTTGGAACAATCTAAAGGTAAGTCTGAAGGAAGATTTTCATCTTTCTTGTAGATTACAGAAAGAAGTTCGTGGGAGAAGATTTCTGAACCAAGGTATAATTTTGAATCATATATATTTACTCACATGTTTTGGTCCTAGTTCCGCTGCGGCTTTTTAGAGATTAATGGAAACGAAATATTTTTCAAATAATTTCAAAAGGTTTATTTTGAGATTTTCCGTTAATAAAATGCTTAATTTCAGGATTTGTTCCCTTCAATATGTGTGGTTGTAATTTGTATTAGAAGAGATGGCACATAGGATTTCCATTTACGTTAAATGTATGATTATTATTATGCTTATGGAATGAATGGATATTTGTCCTTGATTCATGGTTAGAGGAATTTGCTTGTTGCACATTATTGGTATGTAATATTTGAGGGCCAGATCATTAATTCTTCTGGAATTTCCCTCTGTAATTTGTAAATAATTATTTTTTATTAATTAGTCAAAAAAACTTGTAAGCCTCTACTGCGGTGTAGGCATTCTTATATAATTGTTGAAGTCCCTGCACCAACACGCAGACCCAGAAATATCACATATTTTGGTTATTTGCTTTCCCTCACGATTGGATTGGTGAGCAAATAGAAAAGACTAGCGATGGAGCATTTGCACGCATTGCAGTAGGAGATAATTTTATATCTTAAAAAAGTTAATAATTTATATGAGGAAGTGCATACATAATGTCTTGTGATTTTAATTATGATTTGTGATTTTAATTATGATTTATTGAGGGGAGAATAATATAGTAAAATCAACAATATTAAAATAATAACATTGATGATGCTAACTTTATGACATACTAATTTCAATTATGGGCAAAACAAATTAATAGAGTAGAAGTAATTTGTTGATCGAATTGATAAATAAATAACATATGAGGAAATAAAGTCATATCTATATTTGTATCCTTTCCAAATAAATGAGAGAATATAAACATATTTACAAAGATAGAGAATAACAAATTTACAACATTGAGTATTATTCAGTAGAGAACAGATTAATCAAATATTAATACTAAATAAGGTAAATTTATGGGTAAATAGTAAATAAATAAATGAATCTATATGAGTGATTGATTGTCTTCAATCTCTTCCGTTACAGGTGAGGAAAAAAGTTAATTCTGGCTATAACAAATGCTAATGACATAGAGTTCGGAAAAAAAGAAAAGAAAAGAAAAGAGATTAAGTGTTAAAGATAATAACAAATGAATAATTAAGTTATGAAGAGAGAAAAATGATAATAGATATATATAGAAAAGTTTTGGTATATTGTAATTGAGGCTAAGATATATAGTAGTAATTTGAATAATATGCAATAAGGAAGTTGGTTATAATGAAATGCAAAAGAAGAGAAAAATGAAAGGGCAACGTAGTGTGCAATGTAATGAACAAAGGTAGCCAGATTTAAGGGAAATAAAATAATAAAAGATGATGAGCCAAACAATGTAATAAAATCAGTGACGATAAAAGATGGAAAAAGTATGATAAAAGAGTTGTGAAAATAAAATATTAGAGATACCTCAAGCGCTATAAATCCCACGTTAAGTCCGGAATGTCAACGAACCGAAGCTCAACAACAATGAGCGATAGAAAACTAACAAAACAGGGCAATGAGCAGTAGCAAACCTTAGAAAATACAAAGAATCAAGTAAACAAATGAGTGAATAAGTAAGCAGGAAAAATAAACTTAAAAAGTCGACAGATATAGATATAATAATATTTTTATGTAGTAATAGTGACATAGATATGAGACATTCTTAGCGATGTGTGATAAACAGGCTATGGCTGCCTACTGAGGGCAATTGCACAAAGAAGCAAGAGACATGACCAAATATTTATCATCATCACATGGAAAAATTGATTGAAAATAAGATATGTTAACTAAATGCATCTCTATATAGATGTAGATGAAAAAAGAATAGGGAGAGACTTAATAATTCAAAAGTATTTACTTATAAAATAAAAAATGAGGTGAATATGGTTTGCCAATAGTTGGTAAAAATTAGAGAAAGTATTTTCTAATCCTGCTCTGTTGCTAATAGTCATCAATAGAGGCAAAAAAATATATGGAAAAAGGTAATCCTGCTCTGTTGCTAATAGTCATCAATAGAGGCAAAAAAATATATGGAAAAAGGTAAAAAGGCGTAAAGAGCAGAGATTGATTTTGTGACATTTAGTGTACATGAAACTTGTTTAGAGTCTATCGCTAAAAGTTAAAAATATTACCTGAAATGCTGCAAATGCTACTGCAAACACCAAATATTAGCCAATGAAAGGTAGGGAGCAACCAAGACTATGGTAATGAAAAGACCTAGCAGTGGGCGATGGAAAATCTGGAAAGATACAACTAAGTGAATTAGTAATAAGAGAAAAGGATTGATGAAAACTGAGAATGAGCAAACAAATTGCAAGTAAAAGACAAAATAAGGAGAGTAAGGCAGAGAATAAGAAAGAAATGAAACTATATTTTCAACATGGGAATATTTTTATTTAGTAATTGCCGTTTAGGTAATCAATCCTTTCAGTGATGTATGGTAAAAACGTAAAGGCATGCATTTCAAGCATTTATGTTGCCACGTGCTAAGGAAAAGCATAGAGAAATGGAAATAAGAAACTGAGTTTATTATATTGATTATAGCTTGCATATCATAGAAATTGAATGAGCAAAGCAAGATATAGATTCATGCATGATTCACCAAGTGCATCAAAATAGAAAGGTAAATAAAAAAAATGTATTATGTGGGTAAGGCAGAAGCAAATCAAAGGCCAAGTACAAAAATCAAAAATTGTAACAAAACATGGATATCACAGTGTTTTGATGTAGCAATTATGGTTCAGATATTTAATATTCTCATCAATGTGCAATGAATAAGCAAACTTATGTATTTATAGTGTTTTTATGGCTGCCTACTAAGGGCAACTGCACTTTTTGTGGCTACCAACTAAGGGCAACTGTACAAAAACACAGAAATTAATAAGTTACTATATTCATCGCACAAATTATAAAGTATATGTCACAAAAGGTGAGTGATTGGAGTAAAATATGAATTTGTCCAGAGGCTACTAGGTCAATTAGAAGAAGGGACAAAAAGCTTGATTTTATTTTATATGTAAAAAACAATAGAAAAGCAGAGTTCAATTAGGAAAATAGGATGAGATTAAAAACCAGAAAAAGCAGAAGACAGAATTAAGGAGATGGAAGAAGATAAGAAGATTGAAAAGAGAATAGAGGCCGGCTCCGCACTTTAATTAAAGAGGATGAAAAATATTGTCTTGAAAAAGAGAGAAAAAATAAAGAAAAGAACAACACAGTGATTATATTATAGAATCTGCAGCAATGAGAGCTGCAAATCTGTATGTCAATACTTGAAACTTAAGAAGGTAAAAAAAAAATAAAAAATAAAATGAAGGGAAGGAGAAAAACCAATGTATGATACATGTAAATAAGTTTTACTGCAAAGACCTAATGCAATATCGAAGCTAAAGGGCAAAGAACAGGAAAAAAAGAGAGAAAAGGGACTATATTATATAGATAAGTAAATGTCCCTTGCAATCCATTCAAATATTAAAGCTAGAGATAGGAAGATTTGAAATCAAGTAAAAATGAGGAGTTTGCATAGTATAAAAATAGAATGGGAAAAGGATGGCTCAGCCTTTGGAAGAAGGAGGTAATCTTTGATGTAGCAATTATGGCTCAGATATTTAATATTCTCAGTAATGTACAATGAATAAGCAAACTTATGTATCTACAATATTTTTATGGCTGCCTACTAACGGCAACTGCACAAAAATAGAGAAATTAATAAGTTACTATATTCATCGCACAAATTATAAAGTATATGTCACAAAAGATGAGTGACTGGAGTAAAATATGAATTTGTGCAAAGGCTACCGGGTGAATTAAAAGAAAGGACAAAA